GAGGTGGGGTCTGGGACTACACCAGCCCGGGCCAACTGCAGGCATGTCCCTACACCCAGTACGCGTGGTGGCGCCGGGGCCTGGGACCCATCCCTCCTTGAAGAGGTCTCCTCGGGAGATCCCAGCTACCCGCGCCCTCCGCGCTGGAAACCTGCGGCAGCGGGGACCCGCTCCGGTTTAGACCTGAACTGCCACGTGAGTTGCATGTAACTCATGCTAGTTTTGAGCCAGAGGCCTTGAGAAGCAAAGCCCTGCAGTTGGTTCGAGAAAATCTTACTTGTTGATGTTCTTATTGTTACAACTAATATTGACAATTTAATTCTAAAAACATGGACTGCGTTGCATATAACTCACACACACAAGTAAAAAATAACAAACGAGAAAGTATTGTTTTGTTTTAATAAAACACTGTGGCCCAGGAAAACATTTTTTTTCTCCTGTGGCAGACAGCCTGTTAAGGGCGAACAAGCGGAAGCCTCGCAGAAAGTAGGCCCCGCCCTCCAGGGCGGCGGGGCGGCGGCGCGGGGGTGGGGGGCGCGGGCGGGGGCGGGCGGCGCGCGGGGGCGTACGGCGCGGCGGGGGTGGGGGCGGGGGATGGGGGGGCGCGGGCTGGGGCGCGGCCGGGGGTTGGGGGGCGCGGCGGCGGCGGCGCGGGGGGTGGGGGACGCGGGCGGGGCGGCGGCTGCGGGGGTGGGGCGCGGCGGGCGGCGGCGCGGGGCGGCGGCGCGGCGGTGGGGGCGGCGGGCGGCGGCGCGGGGGTGTGGGCGCGGGCGGGGCGGCGGGGCGGCCGCGCGCTGGAGGTGGGTGGGCGCGGGCGCGGGCGGGGCGCGGTGCGGCGCGCGGGTGGGGGGCGCGGGCGGGCGGCGGCGCGGGGGGTGGGGGAGGCGGGGCCGGCGCGGGGTGTGGGGGCGCGGCGGGGGCGGCGGGCGCGGGTGTGGGGGGCGCGGGCGGGGCGGCAAGGCGGCGGCGCGGGGTGGGGGGCGCGGGCGGGGCGGCCGCGCGGCGCGGGTGGGCGCGGGCGGCGGCGGGCGGCGGCGCGGGGGGCGCGCGCGGGGCCGTGCGCGGGGGGCGGGCGGACGGGGCTAGCCTCGCCTCTGCGTCCGCGCGGCGCAGCGCCCTCGGGAAAGCCCCGGCCTGCACTCGCGCAGGGACTCGTGCTTCTCCGGGGCGTGTGCGGTCGGGGCCGGCTGCGCTCCCGGCTGCGGAGCGCGGAGAGAGCCGCGGGCGGAGCGCCGGCCCCGAGCCCAGCACCTGCGGCGCCGCCCGCGCGACCCGGCCGCGAACGCGCCGCTGGCCCGGAACCGCCCCGGACGCCGGGCTCCTGTCGGCGTCGGCGTCTGCGCGCACCGGGAGCGCTCCCTTCCCCCTCTTACTCAGGACTTTCCGGGAACTCTGCCCGACCAGTCGGCGGCCCGGCTTTGTCCTCGTGTGTTCAGCTGTTTAACGTATATTATGTGGTGTTTGGGGCAAAACTGAGACAGAGTTCCACTCTCACATCCTCTGCGAACACTACTCAGACAAAAATGTGGCTTGTCCTTCCCTTTTCCGACAAAGATTAGAAGGCCCGATAGTTCTCTCAAACCTTAGGTCCACTGCAAAACCCAGAGCAGGGTTGCCTTGTGCGGTTAGCATTCTTTAGGCCGGGCCAGCTTCAGGAGCCTGTGACCTGTGCGGTCCCATAAAACCCCACCTTCAGAAGGGCTCACCTTTGATCTGATACTCCGCTCTCCACATCCTAAAATTCAAACAGGGGACCTCTGTTTTTGCACTGGCCCTCATGAATTATGTGGCTGGTCCTGGAGCCAGGTGCTGGGGTACGGCTGTGGGAAAACTCCTGCCTTTAAGTTTACTATCCGGTGCAGACAGATGGGTGGCAGCTCATTTTAGTCCGGTGCATGAAATGCTTCTGTTCCAAAAGAATTAAACACGCAGGCCTGGCGTTTAACCCTGGCAGGGGTTGTGAGGGTAAGCCAGGGGTGTGGGGCAGTTGGTAAAGGAACAGTAGAAAGTGACAACCCAAAATAGGTGACTGAGGCAAGAACATCAATCAATGGAGGTTTATTAAGCCAAAGGTTGAGGACGCACCTGGGAGAAGCACAAACTATATAGAAGGCCTGGTGACCTGTGCACCCGGAAGAGGGATTTGAGAACTCAGTATTTAAGGGGAGAGGGCACACAGAAAGAAAAAGGAGGAGGGGGTGGGCAGGGAGACAAATGGTTACATTCTTGTGAGACTTTTGATAGTGCCCAGAAAATCTACATTTTACATAAGGTAAGGTCAATGTTTGAAGAGAGAAAGGGAGTGAAGGAAGAATCAATTATGCAGCTGTTCCTGGGTAGGTGGAAGAATGATTGATCTTGTCATGTCTCTGTTCTGCACCTGGGAAGACAAACTTGTAATGCACCTTATTAGTGTGGAGTAAAACAGACTTTAGTTTTGGGAGCTAGACTTAGCTTGCAGACTTAAAGTTACAATTTACATGTCCTTGTTTATTGGGGGCGAGCCAGGAATTTCCTTATGAATGATCTGGGGCAGTACTTGTAGATACCTGAGGCCTTTTACCTTTCTCTGGGGATCTGACTCATGTATAATGTTAGTAACAGTGATTCATTTGGAAGGGGGTATTGCATGACTCAACCTCCAGGCTTGTACTCCCCTTTTACATTAGGAGTTGGCAGGGAGGAGGTGGTCCTGAGATTTTTATTTTCTTTTGCAAAAGGAAGGGGCTTCTAGGCAGAAGGTTAAAGTGTAAAGCTCCAGATGTATAGAATACCCGAGAATAGTCAGGACACTCCAAATAGTTCAGTAGGCTGGAGTTGAAGGTTGCTATGGAGTAATGGCAATGAAGCGAGGGAGGAGGGGGTTAAATCAGTAAGTGCTTTCTTAGCTCTTATAAAGAGAGGAGTTTATTGTCAAAGCAATGAGAAACTACCAGAGCTGATCACAAGACCCATGTCCTCTCCTACCTGGGCATGCAGCTGGACCACATGGTCTAGGCTCCTTGCAATCAGGTGTGGCCTTGAGACTGGAGACTTGCCAGTGGCATGCAGGCAGATGTGATATGGGCCATCTCCAAGCACAGCGCTCCATGCTCTTTCTTCTTCTGCAGCATCCTTAGAAGGCGGTATTGAATGTGCAAGAATCTAAAGTCTCTGAATCACCACTTAGAACAACCATTTTTTACTTTATGTGAGCAAGAAATAGGTTTCTATTGTGTTAAGCTACTGAAACTGTGGGCTTATGTTGCAGCAGCTAGCTTTACCCAGATGTACTTTTAGGAAAGACCACTTGGCCAGAAATGTGGAGAATGGGTTGGAGGAGGCAAAAAGAGGAAGAAAGACAAGTGAGGATGCTTTTGCTAGAATCAGCTAAGTGGTTCCTAAGGCAGCATCAAAATTTACATGATGAAGGGACAAAAGGAAGAAGGTGTCCTGTGTTCCAGCTTGGGTAAATTTGTGGATTTTCTTGCCTTTCAATTTAATGCAACTGATAATTCATAAAGAGTACCAGACTAGGGGTAGGCACCCAGTTTGCAGAGTTGATGAGGTGAATTTGATTCCTGCTTTGGTGAATCCAGTCCTAAAGCTGAAAGTGAAAGAAGGAGGATTGGGTAAGTGGGCAGTGATCTTAGCTTTGGATAGATAAACATGTTGAGATAGAGGTTCTTGGATACTTGGAGGGCTGGAGTGGGCAACTAGGGAAGTAGGTCTGGAGCTCAAGAGGGAGATCCCAGCTGAACAGCCAGACCTGAAGCTCATCAGCTCTGGCTGGCAGTCAGGCCACTGTAGGAACCGGACCGGCTAGTGTGAGGACCCAGGCCAGCCCTGCAGGGGACAGCAACATTTAAAGAATGGACAGGGGAAAGAGTGGGACAATGAGACTGAGCAAGAGAGGCCAGTACAGTGAAAGATCAGGCAGGACCCAAGACAAAACATATTCTGAGGAAGAAGTCTCCAATAGAGTCAAATATGGCTGATAAATCAGTTCTTATTGAATTTAGGAACAAGGAGGGTGGGGTGTTGGGTACCATTTAATGCAATGTGAAGCACAAACCACATTAGAGCTGTCTGAGTAAGAATGGCATTCACAAAACCTGGAATTTAAAAGATTGATAAATTTAGGCCAGGCACGGTGGCTCAGGCCTATAATCCTAGCACTCTGGGAGGCTGAGGCGGGAGGATCACTCAAGGTCAGGAGTTTGAAACCAGCCTGAGCAAGAGCAAGACCCCGTCTCTACTATAAATAGAAAGAAATTAATTGGCCAACTAAAAAAATATATATATAAAAAATTAGCCAGGCATGGTGGCCCATGCCTATAGTCCCAGCTACTCAGGAGGCTGAGGCAGAAGGATTGCTTGAGCTGAGGAGTTTGAGGCTACTGTGAGCTAGGCTGACACCACAGCACTCTAGCCCAGGCAACAGAGTGAGACTCTGTCTCAAAAAAATAATAAATAAATAAAATAAAAATAAAAGTTTGATAAATTTGAATACATAAAAGTCTTAATTTTATATGGTTAAAACACCATAAACAAGGTAAATATTAATAACTATTTATAATTTATTTCATAGACAAATGGCAAATTTCTTTTTTCTTTTTAGAGATGGGGTCTTGCTGTGTTGTCCAGGCTGGAGTGCAGTAGCTATTCACAAGTGCTACCATAGCATAATAAAGCCTTGAACTCCTGGTTTCGAGGGATTCTCCTGCCTCAGCCTCCAGAGTAGCTGGGACTACAGGCACGTGCCTCCATAATGGATTCAATTTCTTTAATATCTAAAATGCTCCTACTGATCCGTACATAATAGACCTACAATCCTAGAGGAAAAATATGGCCAAATTATTTGAAGTCAGTTCACAAAACAGGAAATAAAGATGGCTCTTAAACATAGGAGAAAATGGAAATAAGCCTAACTTGCGAAAAGGTTAGGTCAACGTTCAACTGCCATCATCATTAAAAACTCTTGTAAATACCAAGGATAAAAAAATATTTTGAAAAATATGTTTATATGGATTTTATTTTAATTTCAATACTGTGCCACTCTGTATTATACATATGGGTGTATCCTGGAATTCTTCTTTCTTTAAATTATGTGCAGATTACAGAATTAGATTTTCATTGTTAAAAATTTAAATGTTACAGAAACAGAGAGAGCAAAAAATGGAAGTTTTCCTCCTATATCCCCTTCCCCAAATGTATGCCTGAGATAACGTTATCTCTGTTAGCAGTGAAGGGTGTAGCCTTTTTAAACCTTTCCCCAGGGATTTGCATACATAAATTTACATATACCTATACAGGCTTTTGTACACATGGATGAGATCACATTATAAACATTGTATTCCAAGTTACATTTTTCACTTAATTTGTTTTCATGATCTTTTACAGAAGTGTATATAGGCATAACTTTTTTCAAAAAATTCTGCATAGTAGTCCATGATATAAACTAATTAAATTTTTTTCCTATTGAAGGAAAAATAAAACTGAACTAATTCCTATTCATTTTTTCTCTCCCTCCCTTCTTTCCTTCCTTCCTTCTTCCTTTCCTTTTTTTGCTATTCAAAAATAATGCTAACTGTGCGCTTAGAAATGCTTAAGATGGTAAATTTTATATATTTTACCATTATTATAAAAATAAAAATAACTCTATAAAACTGCCTTATATTTTATATTATTATATTACATATTATATTTTCAAATGCTGCAGAGAAAAACTTGGAATATATCTAAGCATGTATACAAATATTTCTGTAGGTCAGACATTTATAAGTGCAAACACTAGTACAAAAGGAATATTCATTTAAAATTGAAAGACTCTGATCAATTCCCCCCAAAAGTCTTAATCCACACTCCCACACCGTGTGAGTGCCCATTTTCTTATGTGCACACCAATACTGGATATTACCAACCTAAATTAAAACAAAGAGCAGCACAGGAGTGCCCATTGTGATTGCATACCCTGTCTCAGAATGCCTGGTAATGCAAAAAGGACAAAGACAGAACAAAAAAAGAAACAGAAAACATAAACAACCGGTGTAGTAATTAGAAGGGTGTTCTCTCTCTTATTTGTACAAACAATTACATATCTAATAAAGATCATTTGCCTATCATGTAACCATATAGCAAAAACCCCAAGAGGATTTATTGAAAACTCTTAAGCTACTAAAAGAGTACACCAAATTGGTCATATAAGAGATAAATGCATAAATTTCAGAAGTTTACTTATATGCTACCATAACCAGGTAGGGGGAAATGCTCTTGGTTACAATGACAATAAAATTTAGAAATAACCATACTGAGAAAAACAAAAACTGTGTAAGAGGTTTTAATAAAAATATATTTAAAAGGATTTGAATAAATGGAGACTACCCTCACTTTCCTGAATGAGAAAACTAAACATTATAAATAGATCAATTTACCCAAGTAATTTTTTGCTTAATGTCACGCTAACCCCTACCACCCCCAAAAAAATCCCAGTTAAAAAAAAATTGGGGTATTGAAAAATTATTCTAAAGTTCATCTGGAAGAATAAAGATGAAAAAATGGTATGAACCCTGGGGAAAACATATTATTTTACAAAATATCCAAAAATTGGCTATTTGTAAATAAACCAAATTATGTTTTCTCCTGAATGTGAACAATGTAAAAAATTCCACATGGATGAAATAGTTAAATCATTTAAGAAAATAAAAGTTCAGAATTAAAAATAACTGATGATTTAATTAATGGGAAAGTACTTCTAAGAATGAAAGCAGTATCAGAAATCACAAAGGGAAAACCTAGATTTGACTATAGGGGAAGAAAAAAACCCATTGATTAACAAAACATCGTAACGAAATTTAAAATCCAGTAACAAAATGAGTAAAAAATATAACAGAGAGGGGGATAATATCTTTAATAGGCAAACAGATATGTAAAAATTAGTAAAATGAACAACCAAACAGAAAAGTAGATGTGTGGACAATTCATAGAAGAGGATATTCAAGAACCAATAAACACATGAAAAAGCTTTCACCAATAATAAAAGAAATGCAACTGGCGTGTATCTTTGTATAATACATAATGTTGCAATTGTTCATAATTTACCTAAAAGGTGCTGAACTGTGTGCCCACTGCCAAGTTTTTTTTCACTCCAATCTCATCCATGACATTGGATGTCTCATCTGGTTTGTATTGTACTTTCTAACTCCTACATAGGAAATGCTAGTAAAAAACACAATGAGATACCACTGTAGACTTACTAGGATTACCATATTTTTTTTAAAAAGGAAATGAAAAATAATAAGTGTTGGTGAGGATAGGAAGAGAAATTGCAACTCTCATACATTGCTGGTGGGAATGAATGTAAGATTCAGCAGCTGTGGGAAACATTGGTTGGCTGTTCCTCAAAAAGTTAAACATAGAATTACCATATGACCCAGCCATTCCACTCCTAGATATATACCCAACAGATAGAAAACAGGTATTCAGACAAATACACGTACATGGATATTTATAGTAGCACTATCACAATAGCCAAAAGGCAGAAACAATCCAAATTCCCAAATCAGATGGATGAGTAGATAAACAATTTGTGCTGCATCCAGGTAATAGAAAATTATTAAGCTGTAAAAAGGAATGAAGTACTGATACAAACTACAACCTAAATGAACCACAAAAACTGAAGCTAAATGAAAGCAGCCAGAAACAAAAGATCATATATGATTCAATTTATACGAACCACCCACAATTGGTACATCCATAGAGACAGTGAAGCAGACTGGTGATTACTGGGGCTAGAAGGAGAAAGGAATGGCGAGTGACTGCTTAATGGGTACAGGCTTTCCTTTTGGGATAATGAAAATTTTTTTGGAACTAGACAAAGGTGGTGGTTGCACAACATTGTTAACATACTAAATGCCAAGGAACTGTTCACTTTAAAATGGTTAATTAATGTTATATGAATTTCACCTCAATAAAAAAGATTCTAAAAGAGAAAATCAGTAAAGTAATATCTAACCACCAAAAAAACTAACATGGCTCATATCTGATCAACTTACTTATTACAGCACTATAAGTGGCACACAGAATGGGACTATATATAGTGGGATTATGTATGTAAGCTATGTAGTCCCAATGCTTGGTGAACATATGGCCTCATGAGAGAACTTTCCTAAGTACACAGAAAAATTAATAAATAAAGCTACTGCCATGAGAGATGGGCCCGCTGTGGGCAAGGAGAATTCAAAGGTGTACATCTGGTTATGGAGAAAATGAAAAATTTCTAAAATAAGGCATTTGAAATGAGCTTTAAGAGTTGAATAGAATTTTTACTGTTAGAGGTGAAGAAATACAATAACATGAAGAAAGTTGTGATCCCTGAAAGCGTAAGTTTAAAGACATTAACTAGTCCAATCTGGTTATTGTAAAAGCTATATAAGTTGGGCACAGATATTAAAGACCAGGTGTCAAAACACCATGACTTTTCCCCCTTTGTGTCCCCAAGTGCCTAATGCAGTGTTTGGCACATACTTGGTGACTGGTAAAAGTCAAACACAGGTAAAATATAAATGTGCATTAAAGAAACTTTTTAAAAAATCCAAGCACCAGGAAAACTATAAAATAGTAGTACTATCTAGCAGCATCTGTAGCTATTGAGTCATGTTAAAGCAAGTATGCAACAAGTTTTGAGGTATCAGGAAAGAGTGGTGAACTAAAATGAATTGCAAGTGGAATTCTAGAAAAACTTTGCATGCCATTCTCTGCTATTTGAGATATATCCTAAATACAGCAGAGAATCATTAAGGTCTGTTCTATTACTCCAAGTCCATGGCTAAGAGGCAGAAATGAGCAGTCCGCGCACGCACAGTGTGGAGCATGAAGTCAGGACACTGCTCTCACACTTGCACTCAGCTTTACGCCCATCCTCACGGAGCTGTAGAAGGGGACCTGGGGACACTGAAAGAGGAAAGCGCACCCCTTATGGAGATGAGAACCTGCCGCAGAACAGAAGGCAGTTGGCTTTGTTGTGCCGAATGAAGAAAAGGAAGGGGTGGTCGGCGCAGAACCGCGGAGCGGATTCCATGCAACACTCCGCAACCAGGTCGGCCGAGGCTGCCGCGGCCTCCGTGCCTTCTTCATTCACCTCCACAAAGCTCTTGTGCACAAACTTGGACAGACACAGGTCTCTCTCCACCGACATTGCCAAGTCAGCCTGGCCCTGCTGAAAGACATCTACCACTCCCAAACGCTGAAGCACAGATTCCATGTTGTAATGCTCTTGCAGTTTAAATTTTGGAAGGAAAACTTCAACTTCAGTACTCTCCATTGAGTCTGGCTTGGTCCAGGCTGTGAATTTCTCAAAAGTGAGATTTTGTTCCACCTGAAAGACCAGAATTAGACTTTAAGATTCAGACTGCAGGGCACGCCCACAAGCGCGCAGGCACCCCGCGTGCAGTGCCCGTCCCCCACGCAGCCCGTGCTGGCTGCGCACGCGTCCGCCCGGCCGGCAGCTCTCCTACCCCGCGCGCTGTTCCGCACGCAGCTCCCTCCGCAACAGGGACACCGGGCAGCCCAGAGGGGCAAGTCTGTGCCTGTCCTGGCCTTACCCAACAACTTCCAAGACATCTTTTTTTCTGACAAATGTCAATGCCCAGATGCCTATGCTTTTTTCCTTTTAAACTATGCTTATTTTTTGGAGATAATAAACCATTGCTGGTAAGGAAAAAGATGATAAAAGAAAGGGCTCTTGGTGTGAGTCGCCCCAGGAGGGGAATCTGCCCAGGGGAGACTTTGCTGTGGTTTCTGCAGAAGAGAGGTCACAGTTAGGGAGGAGGACGGAGCAGGCCGCAGGCGGCACTGCCTGCCATTTGGGGGAAGCCAGGAGGGTAGAGCCAGCACTGGGCTTCACACCACACCTGGGGGCCACTGTCGCCCCTCCCAGCCGTGGTAAGTCCAAAGTCAAGACTTTCTCATTCTCCATTTCAGATTAGAGATTTTTTTAGATTTTAAAGTGTAGTGCTAATAATAATGATTACAGTAACGGGTCACATATAGAGTTTGCCATTTGCCAGACCCCCATTCTAGCGACGAGAAACCAGGGGCCGCGGCGAACGATTTCGCAGGTCACGCAGGTGACACTGGGAGAGGTCGGTCCCTCACCGAGCCCAGCTCCACGCCGTCGTCGGGCAGCAGCACCAGCAGGCTCAGCTCCCCGCCCGCGTAGGGCAGCTCCAGCACCTGCGCGCGCGCCTCGCGCACGTGCGCGATCTTAAACGTGGCCTCCTGGAACATCATCTGCACCGGCCTCTGCTCCTGCTGACGGACGCACGGGGCACGAGTTAAAGCGCGTTACTGAAGGAGGCGGGGGGACTTCCCAAGGAGCGGCAGGTGCCCCAGGGGTGTCCACAGCCCGTCCACAGCCCGCGTGATGACCGTGTTCTCCTGCAGTTAACACAGAAGTGTCACCAGCTCCTTCGATCACCGCGCCTTCACTGTGAGCAGACACAGTACTAGTTTGGGAAAGGCTTCATTCAACAAAATAAAATGTGATCTGCATTTTCCAGAAAAAGAGGGCACATTTTCCTCATTTAAAATATGCTCAACAAATACATCCAAAGGAAACAATATATTCAAATGAAATTAAATAGAAAATTATTTTATTTAATTAGAAAAAATTGTTTAAAGTGGGAATGAAATTTATAGTTTCACAGTTGTGTGACTGGTAGTATAGATGGATACATCTTCATGTATTTTAACCCAATTGTTTCAATTCTGATATTCTAATCTAAGGAAATAATATATATATATTTTTGAGACTGAGTCTCACTTTCTTGCCCAGGCTAGAGTGAGTGCCATGGTGTCAGCCTAGCTCACAGCAACCTCAAACTCCTGGGCTCAAGCAATCCTCCTGCCTCAGCCTCCCAGGAAGCTGGGACTACAGGCATGTGCTACCATGCCAGGCTAATTTTTTCTATATATATATTAGTTGGCCAATTAATTTCTTTCTATTTATAGTAGAGACAGGGGTCTCGCTCTTGCTCAGGCTGGTTTCGAACTCCTGACCTCGAGCCATCCGCCCACCTCAGCCTCCCAGAGTGCTAGGATTACACCGTGCCAGGCTGGAAATAATTTTTTAAAAACATAGACGAGTACATGATTGCAGAAGTTAACTGAAGTATTACATTTATTAAATTAATTTTTAAAAATTGATATAGACCATTTATTATATAAATTAAAATAGTTACAAAATCAATGTTAGAAGTTTCCTTCTCACCCTACCTTTGCAACTAGAGAATTGATTTTGCTAAAAGTTATCTAAAGTACACCTTATTTAAAAACGGGGTGGAGGGTGGGAGGGGGCCTGGGGGGGACAAGTTGTTACTGGTACAAGTTTTCTAATTGCATTAAAATGGTGTTTTTTAGAGGCTGGAGGATTTGGGAAACTATTCTAATGCTTGGCTTATTTGAAGTTTTATTTTGATGTAAACATGAAGGTCTTTGTCACTCAGTTTTATTATTAGAAAGCTGTAGATACTGAATTAATGATAATAATTTAATTAACAATTGAAATCAATACTTATTTTTTTATAAAACTGATTAAAGAAATGTGTTTTCGCATTCACTCTCTCTGCCCTGCCCCCCATATCACACCACCTCAGCGCCTGTGTTTTGCTTTCTATCCAAGCAACCTGGGATTAAAGGAGACTCTTTAGTTTCCAGATCTAGGCATCAGCAAATGGTTTCTGAGAAATTATCAGAGGCAATAAGAGCAGTGTTGAAATGCAAAACATTATAGGCAGCAAATATCTTTTATTCTTTCAATTTTTTCTACTGTAAAAATTCATTCAGAAATGTGTTAAATTTCAAATTATTTTTAACCAGTCATTTATGCACTTACAAAGTTAAACTTTTCCATTTAATTTCTTTATCCAACTAGCACGATTTTTTAAGGCTTCCCCCTACCTGGTTTATTTTAAAAGGCATTTCTCTGGTGCATGTTTTGTCAAACTGCTCGGTCCACCTTCCTTTGAAGTAGATGGCGTTTACAAGAACCAGCCTGGTCTGTGCATCAATTGAGTCACCAGGCAACAACTCCTGAATTTTACCTTTCAAGAAAAGTAGAGACTGCATTCAGTTGTTTTTTTTTTTTTAAATAAAAATATGATTAATAAACTGTGATACAATGTATTGGCAAATCCTAGATTATTAGTCGAGAATCAAACATTCTGTTTTCAAGTTTGCTGAACTTGGGTTGTTATGTACAGAAATAAAAAACAACACATACAAATGGTATTTATGGTTACTGTAACTTGGAAACATCCACCAAGTTGAAGATGGTGAAAGACTCCTAAGTCACTCAAGGAAACCAGAGAGAATAAAAAACTACACCAGGACGGAGAGAACAAGACAAGCAGGATACGAGAGATGGGCTGGAGGGGTGCGATTTATCTCACTCACTCGGATAAATGGAGGTTTGGTGTAATCCTCTGTGGTCACACCAAGTTCTAACATACCATGACTACACATGGACAAGTCAGAGGTAGCCAGAATGGATGGCTCAAAGGGGAGAAAGTTAGCAATGGACACATGGGAGTTTCTGGAAGACTCTGGAAGAGATATTCCTAATGGATTCTCTAAACAAAGCACCAGGCATCTCTGGAAAAGAGAATGTGGGCAAGTGAAGATACCTCCCCCCTTCCACCTCTGGAGATCAGTGGTACCTTTCCAAAGAACTAAGAGCATTCCTGCTAATTCACCATCCCAAGAAGGCATGAGGGCTAAAGATTCCAAGATGAAACGAGGGAAATAATTGCTAAATTTTTAAAGGAAGACTACCTCTCATTCTTTACTATCTTATTTATTAACAGAAATAGAAATATTCCTAGTGGTACTAAGCATAACTAGTGCAGAAGAGTCTGAATGGTTCAAACATCAGCCTGTCCTTGATCTTGGGGGCCAAGGTAAGAACATGTCACTGCCTGAAATAGAAACAAATAAGTATCAACCCCAAATAGAAGGCGTTTTCAGTCTGTGGAACTGTTTAGCCCTGAAAGAGGGTCTGCAGTTAACCAATCAAGCCTAGGTATAAAGTCTAATTCAGGGATCTGGAGTGAAAGACATGAAGGAGGCAGAAGCAACCTCAACAGGTAAAGGTGGTAGTGGTGAGGTCCCCACAGAATCTAGGAAGAGGGGGCCTGAGTGTATGACTCGGGGAAGATCTGTCCATCAGTCTCCTTCTCACAGGGATGATGGAGTCACATGACATGTGAACCTTACAGGACAGTGAGAGTGTGTTCTAATGTCAGTTATTAAACTAGAAATCTGGCTTGAGTTTCTTTTGACCTTTGTATAAGCCACTCTGATCCTGGCAGAATAGAAAAAATTAAATCTCTGTTGTTGAAAACCTGAGCATCTGATCAGAACTTTTATGAGTCCACCAAGGTTCAATATGCCACAAGACCCAGCCAGACACCAGTGAGATCAGAGGGGCGGGGAGGGGAGCTGAAGTGGGGGAAGGAGAGGAGGAGGATGAGATGAAGGAGGAAGAGGTGGGTGGGGATGGGATGGGGAAGAGGGTGGAATAACTTGTAATTCTGACCTTCAGTCTTTTTTGAGACCCAAGTGTTGATGTGTCTCCTGGACTCTTCTGCAGCTTTGACAAAAGAAAGCTGCTCCAGCTCAGCGTGATAGAACTGAAGACAGGATTCCTTAAACGGCTTTAGGGAGAGAAGTGTTCAGCGAGGCTGCATTGCTAAATAAGACGTCAGCAAGCTTCCCAAAACTCTAAATATTCTATCCTTTTCTTAAATGAAAAGAATATATGTATCTCTTAGAAAGTGATATTTTAGTCTACTAGATGTTAAAATATCAGAGTTTGTAAACAGGTACATACTGAGCCCTGAATAACAGGAAATGAATTTTAGGAATAGTCAAATTTTAAATAAAACAAGATATAATTATACAATTGTGGTCTTTTAAAAAAAAAGTTTACCATAAATTTCTCAACTTCTCTAGTCTTTCTCACAGACTCTGTATCACCAGGCATTTTGAATACAAACTTCTATTGTTCTACTGATTCACTTACTGAAAGGAATTTACAAGTCTTCTCTCCAAAGAGCCTGTTGGCTGTTCTAAGCAAGTAATGGGTGCCAGGCTTGTTCACTTCAGTGAGAAGTGACTGGAAACCCCGATGAATGTCTTTCTGTGTGTTTAAAGAAAGTACCTGATGACAAAAATAATTAAAAAATTATTAATATAGTGCTTTGGTCTCAGAAAGAAATTGCAAGCACAAATTTTTCTCAAAGAAGGCTGTTTATATTTTAATGGAGTATTTCATGCATCCTAGAGAACCAACACTGCAGGGGTGGGTGGAGAGAGGGCAGTGTGGACACAGAAAACAGGTGAGGAAAGATTTGGCTATTCTGCCTGAATGGTCTCTCTTATTTAAAGATGAGTCACAGACAAAAATGACAAGGGTGAGAGAGGTCCAGAAAAGGGGCTATGATTAAACCCTGCTTCCCAAGGGAAGCAAAAATTTGACCTAAATAGAGAGAAACTTATCTCTAAAATTTATTTTTTTTAAAAAAAGATGCACTTAAAAGCATAAAAAATGGGCAGAAATACAATCATAATAGGACTCTTAAAAAAAAGGATATAGGCCGGGCGCTGTGGCTCACGCCTGTAATCCTAGCTCTTGGGAGGCCGAGGCGGGCGGATTGCTCAAGGTCAGGAGTTCAAAACCAGCCTGAGCAAGAAATAGAAAGAAATTAATTGGCCAACTGATATATATATAAAAAAAATTAGCCGGGCATGGTGGCGCATGCCTGTAGTCCCAGCTACCCGGGAGGCTGAGGCAGAAGGATCACTCGAGCCCAGGAGTTTGAGGTTGCTGTGAGCTAGGACGCCACGGCACTCACTCTAGCCTGGGCAACAAAGTGAGACTCTGTCTCAAAAAAAAAAAAAAAAAAAAAGGGTATAAAATAGTAATATGATTAATAATTAGACTAAAACATAGTTATTAAAATCATACACTAGAAAGATAACATATGTATATATTTTTAAATCTTACTTTAATACTTCAAAATAATCCATCATATATTAGGCCATAAGAAAAGTCTCCATCAGTACAGAAATTATACAGATTATATTGTCTTACCTCAGTATAGTAACTAGAAATCAATATTTTAAATAAAATACCAAGAACATGGAAATCACTCTTTTAAATACTATTGAAAATACTTCTAAATAAATAATTCTTCTAAGTAACAACTAAAATGCTCTTCTACACAAATAATGCTTCTAAATAATTATTAAAAATACTCTTCCAAGTATCATAACTATATGATCTACAAAATAATCAAAATAGAAGTGATATATATTAGTCCAAAGGCTTAGTACAAAAATAAGTAAAAACATAGCATTAGTTGTTTTTAATATTACCTAGGTAATGAAATGATAAAACTTTCAACTCATGATGTAAGAAAAGGCACAGAAAAATCCCTAAAGAATTTAGGGAAAAATAGAAAATGGTCAATGGAGGCAGGAGGGCTCTCAATATCATACCTCAGAAAGCAACCAACTTTGGTGCTCTCCAAAAAAAAAGCTCCCTTTAGAGGTTTATCAGTGAGCCTAAAACACAGAAAAACCTAGAAAAAGACCATAAATATTTAATTATAAAGAACTTCAAAAGATCAAAATGGTGTCACTAATGTTAAAACAACAACAACAAAAAAACCCTGACAAACAGAGCTAGGGAAGGCCATGAAGAGAGGGTTCTCACACTTGTATGCCTGATAACAAAACTTCACAAAAGACTGTAAAAACCACAACTTTGCCCAAAGGCCATTACTGCATCACACAAAAAAATACTTCTACAAGGACATCCGCCCAGGAACTGTTTGTCCAAACTCCAACTGGCATAATCTTTGTTATTGATGATCTTTGTAGCCATGGATAATTATTTCAAAACAATTATGTAATCCTCCTCATTTTTCCTTTAAAAATCTGTTTTTCTTTCACTCCCTGAATATGTACACAGCTTACTATGGCATGCATATTCCCACTGCAATGCTGTATCCCAAATAAACTTCTCTTCATTTCTCTCCATTTGGTACTCAGGTGGACACCCTCTACACATAAACCCTTCACTCTCTCACACAATGAGCTGGCAATTGATTAAAATGAGTAATCATTATTGAAAACAGTCCTCAAGAGAAAAGAAAGTCATACTGAAACAAAGAGCCACTATGAATAACTCTCCTACAATGAAGGTGTGTTCAGGGGCCCAAGGTTAGCGATGTCACAAGCTTTTAGGTTTCATCTCATCTCAGGCAGGTGTCTCCTACCCTTTCTAGAAACTCCTGAAGACAGGGACTGAGCCTGAACCATTTCCAGAGGTCCACTGGATGTTGGGTAAGCGGAGCTAACCCAAGAGCATTCACAGGCTGTGCCTGTAAGGAAGGGCATGCCTCTGACCCTTCCTTTGCATATTTCTGTTTCTGTCCTGGCTGAGCTAGGAAGGCACCTGGGTATAGAAATGAAGTGAGACAAGTATTCCTTACAAAGTCTCTCCAAAAAAGAGATCTTAGCAACTTATGTTTCAAATCATTTCTGGTATCATTTCCTAAACAAAGATAAAATGCTAGGACAAAATTTTGACAGTCTTTTCCAGGTTATTAACTGAGGAAACTCCCCACGTTGCAAAAACAAAAAATCTCAGTGGTATAAATACCCCATCTCCCTTTCTGAGTTGGTCCCACCTCCCTCAAACTGCTGTGTGCACACACAGGCACCATGGCCACCCTCCTTCCTCAGCACTTCTGGCGCATGAATGTGAAGCTGGTGATAGACACATGGTGCAGGCCACCCCCTCCTGGGCAACGGCCAGCTTACCTGGGCCATCTGGGCTGCAGTGTTTCCCTTTGCCCCCAGGAGGACCATGGCCAGGGCAGAGGAGATGCTTAAGGGAGAATAAAACACGTTGTGCGAAGGGTCGTCTTGACAGAGTAGCCTTAGAAGGCTAATGGCAAAGGTGCCGTTGGCTTCAGCGAGAGTGTCCATGATGTAGCTCCTGGAATCCAAGAACAGACAGATGCTGCTTCAACAGCCCTGAATGTTACTGACTTACTACATGGCAATTTTGGAATTGTACTTTTTTGATTTCATGTCAAAGCTCACAAATATTCCAAATTGAAGGAAAATCCATTTTCTGTTGGTCTCCATCCAAAAATGAAATCCAAATTTTGAGGTGATTAGCTAAGTGTAGTGACCACAGCAAATCAAACCAGCTGGAGAGCTTCAAGAATATCAACAGCACTGGCTTGCCTGCCAGACACGCACGCGCGCACGCGCGCACACACACAGGACACAGCTGGGATCAGCGACTCCCCTCCTCTCCCATAAGGATCAGCTCCTCCCAGCAGAGGAGGAAACGCAGAGCGATAAATGTTGAGGTTCTCTAGCCTGGCTGTGGAAACACTGTGCTTATTCTTTCCTACGTTTATGAAGAGTCCTCCTGAGATTTTCAAACGGACACCAGGCTGTGGCCTGTTTGTCCACTGATACGCAAATGGTACTGAGATGCTGAATCAGACTCAGACAGATGGCTATGAGGCAAGGGTCTGTCACCCACAATGGCTGCTCAGTGGGTGACAGCTGGGGAGAGCCAGTCTGCTCTTCTGCTGAGCACCCTCACCTCCCAGGAGAAAAGGCCAGGCCCAAGCCCATGTCTGTTGACATCCCAGAACCCAAATTAGAGTTCTTGGACACCACTATCCTCTGGACATCGTGACCTTCGAACATTGGAGTTGGGCTGAGACAACTGTGTGGGCTTTTTTGCTTCGTTCTGTTTCGCCTTCAGTGTTCTTGCTAACTCGGAAACGTGGGTTTGGGAGCTTTACTCATCAGTCCCACCAAAAGCCATGAGAGTAGACTGCGCTTGAGAGGAAGGGACTCATCCCTGAGGAAAGCCAGAACGGAAAGGCAACCAAGAACAGTCAAGGTGAGGCAGTAAAACCAGCAAGAACAAGGAGGCAGTAGCTGTGAAGCCAGTGGAGGCCAACGTGTGAACGCAACTGGGCAGGTCTGTTGGCCACATACCTGAAACCCAGCACATACCTGACACCACCCCACACCACAGTTCCCAGTGTCCTTAGTAATGAGACCCTGGGAGACCTCCCTGACTCCTCCTCATCTCTCCCTCGTGCCCCCACACCCATCACCAAGGCCTCCTGCCCCAAGTCTCTCCCCAACCTGTGCAGCTCTGGTCGTGTGCCTCGTCTGGACCATGCAGGCTCCTCTCCAGAACCTCTGGTCTCCTTGCAGCCACTCCCCACTGTAATCAGCCCGTGCCCTCCAAAACGCCAACCAAACCACTAGAGAAGCCGTGGGACAAGAAACACAACCGGCTCTCCCCACCCCACCACAGGCAGTGAAAGATAGAGAAAGAGAGACAGACAGACAGACACAGACACACACACGACATCCTGAGAGGACAGTGGTGTCTTGATCCTTTTACCGCTCCCCTTGAACCTCCCCTGTCCCTAAGGATGGGCTCAAAGCCGCCTTATTGAAATGGCTTCGCCAAGGCGCCGCCCCTGCCCGGGCCTCGCTCCCCCACAGCCTCCACCTCTGGCCATCCTGAACCCCGTTCAAAGTCACCTCCGAGCCTTTGCAAACACTGCTTATCCCACTTAGAAGGCCCACCCCCGTCACCGCGTTAATCCCACTCCCCTTCCCGGCTCCACGTCGCAGCCCCGGCCCCGCCCCCGGGACACCTCCCCAGCGCGCCCCTTGTCCCAGCGCGTGTGGTCCCCACCAGACCGGCCGCCGCGCGAGAGGCCGTTTCTGCCCGCGACAGCGCCCGCGCCGCGCTAGCGCTCCGGTCCCCCGCCGCCCCCGTCCGCGCCCCCGCCGCCGCCTGCGCAGGGACACCCCACCTGCCGCCTTCGTCCGCCTGCCTCGCCGCGCTCGAGCCTGGACGCCGCCCCGGGAGCACGACCCGACCCTAGCCGCGCGCAGGGCTCTCACCCGGGGCGGGCGCCGCAGCCCTTTAAAGCCTGCCGCGCCGCGGGGAGACTTCCAGTCCGCACGAGGGCGGGGCCGAGGGAACCGCGGGCGGGGGGGGGGCAGGCGGGCCCTGCGCCTGCGCGAGCTCCGCCCCTGCGCCCGCGGCGCCCCGAGCCGGGCTGCGAAGGGAAAGCGTCCTGAAACTGGCCGCGGGGAGGAAGCCGGCGGGACGCCCGCGGGGCGGAGACTCTCGGGGATTTGGGAGAGGAACCCTGGAACCCTGGTCCCTTCCGCTCCCAGGAAGCGAAGGCAGAGTGACTCGCAGGCTCTGACGCTGGGGCAGGAAGGTCGCGGGGCCTGCGCCACGCCCTCGTCGTAGGTACGCGCTCCACCTCCCACCGGAGTCGGCGCCAGTCCCGGGCCCGGATACGGAGCCCGTCTGCACCCCGGCGAGTGGCCGCGGTGCTGGTGTGCGCAGCCCCGCCGCTCGCAGCACGGTGACAGAGACAGAACTGAGCCAGACGGTGACCTTTGTGCGGGTTCCAGAGGCAGAAACGGCTTCAGGGAGTCGTGCCGCGTTTCAGGATGTCATCTGAGACCCCCCCCACACCCCTTACCCTCATTGTTCCGTTCTCAGGCTGGAAGCAATTGAAAGCATTTCTTGTTGGCACCGTGATGTCCAGAGGAAGAGAACAGACCAGCGGACTTTCTGGAGTTGGGAGGATTTCCCAGAAGCCTTGGCCTTCAGCACATTTCCCCTCCTGTTCCACATTAACCAGAATTAATGCCTTCTCCGGAGGCTCTGGGTGAGGGTGAGGCCAGCCAGATGTCTAAGCACAAAAGTTAAGGACGGGCACACTCTTAGGTGCCAACCCTGCATTTTCACCACGCCGACAGAGCCTGCTTAAATTTTGCACCCTAGGTGCCTAGCTTGTTTTTTAAATTAACACCTTTATTAAGATACAATTCACATACCATAATATTTGTCCTTCTAAAGCACACCATTAAGTGTTTCTTAGTATACTTACAAAGCTGTACAACTGTTACCAGCGTCTAACTCCAGAACATTTTCATCACTTCAGAAAGAAATGTGATACCCAATAGCAAGTATTCTCTGTTCACTCCGCCCCCGCCCCCCAGTCACTGGGGACCACTGGGCCATTTTGTTTACATGGATTTTCCTTCCTTTTGTGAACGTTTCGTGTAAATTGAGTCATACAATATGATTTGTGACTGCCACCTTCTGCTTAGCATTTTTTCAAGGTTCATTCTTGACGGTTCAAAGTAGCATTTAATCAGTACTTCATTTCTTTTTATGACTAAATAATATTCATAATAATGTATATATATCCTTTTAAATCCATTCATCAATTGATGGGCATTTGGGTTATTTTTGTCTTTTTTATATTATGAATAATGCTGCTATGAACATTCATGTGCAAATTTATGTGTAGACATATGTCTTTTAGATTTATGTTGAGTATATACCTAGTAGTGGAATTGCCAGGTCATATGGTAACTCTGTATTTAACTTTTTTAAGAACTGCCAAACTGTTTGGCAAAGCTACTGCACAATTGTACGTTCCCACCAGCAATGTATGAGGGTTTCAGTTTCTCCACATCTATTGTCTATCTTTTCTTATTTTAGCTCTTCTACTAGGTATGAAGTCAAATATTACTATGGTTTTAAGTTGTAGTTCCCTGATGACTAATGATGTTGAGCATCTTTCCATGTGTTATTGGCTCTTTACATATCTTCCTCTGGGAAATGCCTATTCAAATGCTTTTGCCCATTTTGTGATTGGATTGTCCTTCTATTGTTGAGCTGTATAGCACCAGACATTTAACAGCCTGAATATATTTTCCAAAGCAATTTGGTAAGCATCACTGGCAGTTGGCTCATTTAGCTTCCACCTCATGTCTTTTCTGGTATATCTTCTATGGAGGTTGAAAAGCTAAAAAACTTTCCAGATTATTTGGTAGCTGGCTGTACATGTGATTGGATTCTGTCAAACTGATTCACCTCAGTAAAACTCAGAAAGTGGAAATTAAATGACAGTTGTTGGGGAAAATAGGACATCCTTGTCATATTTACTCTTAAGGAGACACTCACACTCATAAGGTGCCACCCACACAGGGGTGAGAATAGTGCCTACCTATTCCCTTCAGCCAGATTGGAAAACCTGTAATTCTCAGAGTATTGAATAGAGTACCTGAAGTTATCTTGCCTCAGTATGGTGCATAATTAGCCCTCAACCAGGCTCGGGTTCTGCCTGAACAAATCTTGGAAATAAGACCTGAGAAGATAGTAACCTGCTCCTCAGAACAATGCCCAAGAATAGTTATAGAAATGCAGAAATATCCAGCTTCTAACAAAGGAAAATTCACAATGACAATGACTGGCATTCAAAAATTACCAGCCATGCAAAAAAGCAGGAAAGGATGACCCACAATGAGGAGAAAAATCAATAAATCGAAACCAAACCAGAACTGACACAGATGTCAGAATTAGCAGAGAAGGATACTTAAATAATTTTTGTAAACTGTGTTCAAAAGTAAGTAGAAACATGGAAGATTACATATTATGCATATATCATTTATTTATATATTTATAAAATAAATATATATTTATATAATATACATAAAACCTCTTGAGATGAAAATGAACTGCTAGAGACAAAAACTAAAATGTGAGATGAAAAATACACTTGATTGGACTAATGGCAAATTCGACGTTGAAGAAAAGATTAGTGGACTTGAAGACATAGCAAAAGAAAGTATCTAAAAGAAACAATAGAAAAAAAATTATGAATGAAATGAGTGAACTGTGGGACAATTTTAAGCAGCTTGATATATATATACAATTGGCATCTTCTGAGAGGAGAGAGACAGAAGAAATATTTGAAGAAATAATGAATGAAAATTCCCCAAATTTGATAAAAACTGTAAACCTACAAATCTAAGAATCTCAGCAAACCCCAAGCACAAAAACATGTGATGAAATTTACTCCAAGATACATCAAAATCACATTGCTCAAAAGAAATGATGAAAAGAAAATCTTAGGCCGGGCGTGGTGGCTCACGCCTGTAATCCTAGCACTTTGGGAGGCCGAGGCGGGCGGATTGCTCAAGGTCAGGAGTTCGAAACCAGCCTGAGCGAGACCCCGTCTCTACCAAAAATAGAAATAAATTAATTGACCAACTAAAAACATATATACAAAAAATTAGCCGGGCATGGTGGCACATGCCTGTAGTCCCAGCTACTCGGGAGGCTGAGGCAGTAGGATCGCTGAGCCCCGGAGATTGAGGTTGCTGTGAGCCAGGCTGATGCCACAGCACTCACTCTAGCCTGGGCAACAAAGTGAGACTCTGTCTCAAAAAAAAAAAAAAAAGAAAAGAAAATCTTAAAAGCAATCAAAGAAAAAAGATTAGGTACAGAAACACAAAGATAAGATGATAGTAAAGTTCTCTTTGGAAACAATTACAAGTAGAAATGCAGCAGAGAAGTGTCTTTAAAATATTGCAAGAAAAAAAAAAGAAACCGGCCAGGCCTGGTGGCTCATGCCTGTAATCCTAGCACTCTGGGAGGCCAAGGCGGGCGGATTGCTCAAGGTCAGGAGTTCGAAACCAGCCTGAGCAAGAGCAAGACCCCATCTCTACTATAAATAGAAAGAGATTAATTGGCCAACTAAACATTATATATATAAAATTAGCCGGGCATGGTGGCGCATGCCTATAGTCCCAGCTACTCGGGAGGCTGAGGCAGGAGGATCTCTTGAGCCCAGGAGTTTGAGGTTGCCGTGAGCTAAGCTAACGCCACGGCAAGAAACTCAAACTTCTGAATTCCTTTCTGAAATCTCCTTTCATTCAAAATAGAAAGCAGAGGCCAGGCTTGGTGGCCACAGCAGGGGCTGGGGGATCGCTCAAGGTCAGGAGTTTGAAACCAACCTAAGCAAGGGGGAGACCCTATCTCTACTATAAATAGAAAGAAATTAATTGGCCAACTAATATATATAGAAAAAATTAACCAGGCATGGTGGTGCATGCCTGTAGTCCCAGCTACTCATGAGGCTGAGGCAGTAGTATTGCTTGAGCCCAGGAGTTTGAGGTTGCCGTGAGCTAGGCTGATGCCAGGGCACTCACTCTAGCCTGGGCAACAGAGTGAAACTCTGTCTCAAAAAAAAGAAAAAAAAAGAAACCATCAACCTCAAATTCTATATTTTTTAAGCATATCTTTCAAAATTAAGAAATAAAGACTTTTTCAGATGTACAAAAACTGAAAGTTTTCATCACAGCAGACCTGCACTTGAAGAAGCATTAAAGTAATTCCTTCAGCCTGGCAGAAGAAAAATGATACCAGATGAAAAAAAGATTTACCCAAAGGAAGAAGAACATTGGAAATGGTAACATCAGGTAAATATATGACTATTTTTTTAATTTTTAAAAACTGGCTATATATAAATAGTTATAAATAGCTTTATAATTGGCTATTTTAACAAAAAATAATAGGAATCATAACATATATGAAAACAAAAGCATAAAGACCAGCAGAGGGGAAATGGAAATATAGTATTGTAAGGCTCTGTACTACATATGAAATGATATATCATCATTTGAAAGTGATTGTGATGAGTTAAAGATGTATACTTGTTTTGGGAAAATCCCAGAATGGTATAGAAAACCCGCTCCCCAAACTGAGATGGTATTGAGAGACCAAGAATGACCCAGACAAATCCAGCTTGATGGGTCAGATGAGTTTATTCGAGGTTACTTACACAGGGCTCTCATTCCTGGATGGTGGCAGGAGTTCTCTGAGGAGTAAAATCCTCACTGCCTGCCTGTTTATGGAGCCTTAAATTTCTTTCTAGCAGGTTACAAAGAGCTCTCTCCATGTCATTGCGTGCTTACAGGTGAAACAACCATCTACGCAAAAAGAGCTACTTAAGAATATCCTTTGTGCTTTGTATTTCTTTCAGCTACCTTGTTTTGATCTACTTAAAAACAACAGAGGCTCAGCGTAGTGGCTCATGCCTATAATCCCAGAACTTTGGGAGGCTGAGGCGGGAGGATTGTTTGAGCCCAGGAGTTTGAGGTTGCTGTAGCTATGATCATGCCACTGCACTATAGCTGGGGCAACAGAGCGAGACCCTGTCACAAAAAAAAAAAAAAAAGAGAGAGAGAGAAAATTGATTAAACCAACAGGTGTTCTTTGAGAAAAATTAAATTGATAAACCTCTAGCCAGCCTAATGAAAAAAGAAAAAGAAGACACAAATTACTAATATCAGGAATAAGAAAGGTAGCATTACTATGGATTTTATAGATCTTAAAATGAAGATAAAGGAATATTATGAACAATTTTATGCTAATACATTTGACAAATTAGATAAAATGGACAAATATCTTAAAAGCCAAAAACTACCCATACTCAAGAAGAAATAGATATCTTGAACAGTCCTATCTTCTTATTAGTCTACATTAATTAGGACGGTGGTACTGGCATCATGATAGACACATAGATCAATAAAATCAATTAGAGTCTAGAAATAGGCCCACATATATGTGATCAATTGATTTTCAGCAAAGGTGTAAATGCAATTCAGTGGCCTTTTCAACATATGCAAAAACATGAACTCAAAATGGACCATAGATCTAGATATAAATTTTAATACTATAGCATTTGTAGAGTTCTTTGAAAAGCCCCCTTTTCAAAATGAAAATACAAACCACAAGCTGGGTGAAAATATTTTCAAATCATATATCCGAGAAAGGACTTGGTATCAATAATATAAGAACTCTCAAATGCAAACAGAACCAAAATAAAATAAAACGTGAGTGACATGGATGGCAAAATGAGCGCATTAAAAAATGCTGGACATCATTAGTTATTAGGGAAATATAAACTAAAACCTCAATGAGACACTGCTACACACCTATTAGAATAGTTAAAATAGAGGTAGCCAGGGGCCTAGGTGCCGAGATGTGGTTCGAGATTCTCCCTGGACTTGCCGTCATGGGCACGTGCTTGACCATCCCCAGAGTGGCCACTGGGTACATCCACAAGTTCACTAACGGTGGCAAGGAAAAAAGAGCTGCCCATTTTGTCTATTATTGGAATTTGATGGAAAGAGATAGGCGCATCTCTGGAGTTAATCGTTACTACGAGTCAAAGGGTTTGGAGAACATTGATTAAAGTAGCATTTTCCTGATTGATGAAAAAATAACTCAGCAATGGTCATCTACTCCTGCTAGAAGGTTATATAGTGTATTATGTAGTATGTAGTATGTTATATAATGCTTAATAAAAATAAAATGACAGAAAAAAATAGTTAAAATAACAACACTGATCTTTCCAAGTGTTGGTGACTGGACCTTTCTTATGATCTACTGATAATTAAATGGTATAACCATTTTGGAAAACAATTTGGCAGTTTCTTAAAAAGTTAAACCTTCCATATGAACCAGCCATTCTACTCCATTGTCTACTCAAGAGAAATAAAACCATATGTTCATACAAAGACTTGTACATGAATATTCATGGCACTTTTATGTGAAATAGTTAAAATCTTGGCAACAACCTGAATGTCCATTAACAGGTGAATGAATAAGTAAATGTGGTATAGCCATACAATGGAATATTAGCTAGCAATAAAAAGGAACGGACTATTGATGCACACGATGACACGGCTGGACCTTGAAATAATTATACTGAATGACAGAAACCATACCAAAAAAGTACAAAGCTGTATGTTTCTATTTATGTAAAATTCTAAAACATGCAAACTAATCTAGAGTGACATAAAGCAGATGACTTGTTGCTCAAGGACTGAAGATATGTGGCAGGAAGGGGAGAAAAAAGCATTACGGAAGTACAGAAGGAAACTTTTAGGTGTGATGGATATGCTCATTGCCTTGACTGTGGTGATAGTTTTACTGGTATACACAGTATCAGAGCTTGTCAAATTACACTTGTTAAATATATGAAGTTTACTCCGTCAATTATACCTTAATAAAATTATTATTATAAAATAATAATAAAATAAATTATACCTTAATAAAGTTGTAAACATTTTTTTAATATTAGGAGGAAATAAAATTAAAATTTGCAGTTGCCTGCTTTCCAGTTCTGTGGAAATTTATTGCCAAATTTACTTTGGAAAGCATGGTCCCTGAGGTGATTGTGGTCTAGCAGAGGCCCTAGTCTAGCTGGGTACATTTTAAGTAAGAGTCATATTATGAGTGGCTTGTGTAACCGGCTGATAAACTCTGAATCCAAAATGGAGCCAGAAGCAACCCCTACTCAGGCCAAACCATAAAAGTGAGTCAGGCAGCAGTGTGCGTGGGGATGGTCGTATACATGGCCGTGTACATCAGGGCAACATTTTAGGGACCAGTTTGGAAGAAGCCTCAACATGTGCCCAACTTTTATTTCAACAATATCATTTTTGGGAATGTTTCTTTAAAAATATTAAGATGTGAGAAAATATTTAGGATATTCACAACAGTCTAGTACATAATATAAACAATTTTAATTACTCAAGTTGTCTACTAGTAGCTGAAATAGATTACCAAAGTATAGACAGTCATACCATGGAAAACTATACACATCAAAATTTGATGACATGGAAAGAGAACTCTTTGGGGGAAAGTTTACAGTAAGTAGGGGTGGAAGTAGGCTACAGAAATGTATGAATAACTTGTATGAAAACAGGTTTATAAGTTTATATCTGCATACATAGAGTAGGGAGTAGGGAAGGATATATAGCACTGGTAACAATGGCAGTTGCTGGGTGGTGGAATTGTGGGTGACTTAAGGTTTCTTTGCATACTTTCTGTAGCTTCCATATTTCTGCCATAACACATATTCTTCTTTAATCAGAAAAATATATTCATGTAGAGTGGTCCCTTCCTAGGCAAGGGGTGTGCTTGGGCCACGTCTGCGCATCTCTGATCTACAGCTGCATCGACACTAGTTAGAGGGCTGCTGCTCCCAGGAGTGGCTGAGTGTGAGGGTCCCTTCTAGGCTTTGTGTGTGCTACCGCGGGAGATGGGCAGTCCACATGGCATCTGTTTCAGAGATCCGCCTCTGAGCCCAGTCTAAACCCCAGCCCTTGCAACAGAGGCTCATGGAATGAGAAGCTGAAGGAGTGGTTTCCATTAGGGACTCTGTGAGTTTTGGAGCATGCAGGTGTCTTTGTGACATGAGGGAAAGAGAGTCACTTTATCACTACTGCTTAGGAGACCATGGTGTTGGGGCTGCAGGGTGAACATGTCAAGATCTCTGGCTTTGCAAACCAGGGGTCCTGGACACTGGCATCTCCTGGCGAGCCTGGCAGAAGTGGGGGCAGAGCTTTGAGATGGTTTGAGGGCATATCAAGTGCTGGTCCCTGAGACCCTGAGAAGCTCCTGAAGATGTCCACAAAGAATGGGCATGGCCTGGGAGGGAACCTGGCAGTCCCAGGGTGTGCAGGTGAGGACAGCACCGCTTGGGGCTCCCGAAATGCTCCCAAACCAGCATGTCCTCCTAGGCCCAAACTGCACCCTTCTGAGCCTCAGCTCTTCCCAGGAGCTGTGTGATGCTTGGTTCAGACGTCCACAAAGCCCCTGGTACACACGCTATATTTGGCTACTGGAATCACAGCACCAGTTTGGTTCTGCGAGATTTAAATGAAGGCAAGGTTGCCAGAAGGAAGAGGGCCACAGGAACAGCAACCGTACTCTCCGTGAAGAAGAGAGCCCGCAGAATGAAACACGGCTGGCTCTGCCGTGCCTGAAGAAGGAGAGGGTGGTCTGCACAAACCCTCCTGTTCTGCCGGCCACCTCGCAGACGCGCCCACCCTCGCTGGCCTCCGCAAAGCACTTGTGAGCCACCTGGGACCACAACACAAGTCAGGCTGGTTTGGGGCCAGCTCCACTGAACTCAACTTAAGCACCTCTCTAAAGACCCTGTCTCCAAATACAGTCACATTCTGAGGTACTCGGAGTTAGGCCTTCAACATAGGAATTTCAGGGTAACACAATTTTCAGTCCATAGCAATCCGTATGCACATTAATGTTTGGGAAACACTGACTCAGTCGACCCCTACCCTCTCTTCCATGACTCATATTCAGTAATTATTGGGCTTTTAACTAGTCTTTTCTTCAGAATAAAGAATACTTTTTTTGCAACTCTCGTTAGCTTCTTCAAAATGTGGCCTTACCAACAAAGTCCTCTCCCAGACACTCAACAGAAATGCAAACACATGCTCACCAAAGACATGCAGTGGTGTCCATCCAGCTCTACTTGTAATAATCCTAAACTGGAAAGCCCTCAAAAGCTTCCTGGTGGATGGACTTAAACAAATGAGCTTGGACTGGAATCCACAGCCACTCAGACTCGCGGCCACGGCTCGCCGCGGTGAGGTGGGTGTTGTCTCCGGGAAGCGGAACGGCGGCACTCAGCTCCCTGCATGGGGCAGCTCCAGGACCTGGGTGTGCACCTGTCTGCATGCCCCGTTTTAGGTTTAGCTTGCTTAAGCATCATCTGTACTGCTGTTCTCCTGATGAAACATGAAATTAAAACCAGATTACTGAAAAATGAGCACAGTGTACCGAGAAAAGACACCTCTAACTCCAGGAACCTCTCAGGTATACGTAGGAGAGTTTGTATTTCTGTCTCTGTATGCTGATAAATGTAAAATCTTCATCAGGACATTTAGAATTGAGCACAAAGTACTCTTGTTCCATCAGATCAAATATTACTGGATAGATGACAGAGAATAGGTTGGCAAATATTTCTATATTTATTTTGGATGAAGTATTGTTTTTTTTCCCCCTGTTTTGAGGAGCTGCCTAGAGAAGCACTCCCATGGACTTTGAAATTAAAAAGTAAGTTAAGAGGACCGTTAACTAATATTTAGGCCTTTGAGATGACGGCTGTGGTTAGAATAGATATTATAAGCCAAAGGGAGTTACACTTTTATCCTGAAAAGCTGCCCAGTTATATAATTGGTTTTATGGCTTTGTTTTTCTTAAAGAGGAGAACTGGACAAGATGTGTAGGGCTGACATTTTTGAAGCTTGCTTCAAATATATTTTATATGTTTATGTCTTTGAGCAATAGGCTATTATTAGGTTGATGGAAGCCAAATACACATTATTGACCCTGCCATTATCACATTCAAAAGGAGTATAGGAGAGTGTGTAGCATTCGAGTTAACATCTGGTAACACATTTTTCTTGCACTTGGAATTATCTGCCATGAATTTTAAGGTGACCAATAGCCATTGTTATCACTGGCATTTCAGGAAGGTGCCTGAGTGAGTATAGCTCTTGATGGCACAACACCAATGTGCTCTAAGGCCTATAGGAAACTTACCTCCGATCCAAATAATATGACCAGCGATGGAAGATGGATTTAGCCAAGGATGAAGAAACAGAACTATCAATACAAAAATTATTTTGGTTTTTCTTTTCTCTCCCCTGCCCCCCTGACCAAGGGATATACATGGGCATGAAATCCATTAAGAAATTGTTAAGAATCAGGAGACTTTGAAATAAATTATTTATATTTCCCAATCAAAATCTTTCTCACCGCATTACAAATCTCAGTATATCTGAAAAATACTTTTTTATCTGGTTGATTTTTAAGAGTTTTCCCAGATAGAAGACAAACAGGGCCCAGAGAGGAAGCCATTTTCCTGGGTTTCCCAGCTCTGTCCAGAGGGCAGGAATCCGAGACCCTCACGCTATTTTTCAAAAGTCATTACTTCATGATCAGACAAGCCTAAGAGAAATGACAGAATTTTGTTGCTGTCCCAAAAACCTGGCAAAACCACAAAAAAACACCTCCAGTAACTGGGTCACAGCAGGAACATGGGGACACACCCAGCCAGGAGCAGCCACACTTCCATCCTAACTACAATTTTACCGAAAATAAAGGCTCTCACCGACAGTCTGTTCTGTGACCCAGTAACCATGTGCCTGGGTTCTCCCATCTCTGTAGCAAGGGACAGCACCTCCAGGTCTGTCTGAGACAACATCTGGCAGTGTTCCTTGAAGACCTACCAAGAGCAAAACACTGGGTTCGGCCCTGTTCTGCAAAGGTTTCCACAACTTGAAAACATTTTCCCCCTCTTTACATTTTTCTGGCATACATGATAACTCAGGGCCCGCTGCATGTTGAGGCTCATGATTTCAGGTAATTCAGTGTGCCCTGCACTGTGTTGGTGCTCGCACCACATGGAAGACACAGCGTCTGAGCAGACGTGGCCCACGGTCTGATGAAGAGATGCCAGCACACAGAGGTACTCCAAGGTCCCCAAACACCCCAATAATGCCCCTGCCCCAAACTTAAGCTTCGTAGGGACTTTCTGCTTAATCTTCTGTCTTCTGCACTGAACTGTGATCCTCCGGGTGGCCCAGTGCTCCTTTGTTAATTTGCATGTCAGTAGCAACACACAGCTGTCCT